TAAACATTTTATGAAAATTTGAGATTAAAAAAAAAATTTTTACAGGTCGCTCAACGCGTTTTAAGAAAATTGACCAAAAATACTCAAAAAAACATAAAATGTCATTATTTATTCAATTTTTGTTCAAATTTCTTACTTAGTATCTAAATTGTTCGTTTTTTAATGCCGAATAATAATAATTAGAAAAAAAAATTGTAAGTCCAAAATTGATTGCGTTAAGTCTATAAAAAGCTCAAAAATATGGTTAAGTTCTACGAACATTTAAGTAAACCAAAAAAATGATTTTTTTAATTTGATTTATATTTGTGTGTATTTTAAGAGGAAAAAATTTTTTCCACTAATGTTTAAAACTACTACCTTTTTTTAGATTAGAACGTACGCTAAAATATACGATGTACATAAATTAAATGAAAATATCGTTAAATTTTACTGTTTCCTTTTTACATTTTTTTATTTTAAAATTTGGCATTAGCTATATATACATACATATATATTTATAATTATAAAAATCAAAATTATTTTTTATCATCGATGTTGATTTTTTACAATCGGCGTACTCATTGCGGTGTCTTTCCACAACTTGTAATAAAAATTGCCTTTGCTCTTCGTCGTTTGTTTGAGTTATTAAAACTCGTCATTAAGGCGACTCTGCGTTCTGCAGGCTAATTTATTACAAATAATGATTCAACTTTATTTTTAGCCTGATTGTAGTTCGAATTTTGAGCCCAAGTGTTTGGTTGATCGTTTAAAAACTAGTAAAATGAGAAACACTATCTTGAACACACAATTAACTTCAACGATAGACAGAACAAACGTATCTAGCCGAAAAGCCACGTATATTTTGGCGTCTGCTTTAACTTCGTGTGATAAAAATATTAAAGATAATTCCATAAGTAAAGATTCAATTCGAATAGCTCGTAATTTTAATATAAAATTGATTGCCTAATTTTTTTTCGATTAAAATACATGCACCATTTAGTTTTCCAGTGTTGGAGGCGGTATTGTGAAAAAACATTATATTTGTTTGATTAATTAAATTCCAATTAACCAAAAGCTTAATAACGGCATCAGCTTGCGATTGGCCTGTAGAATTTAAAAGTTTAGGTAGTCCCAAAAGTTTAGTTTTGCGATCACCCGATACTAATACCGCTAAACGTTCAGTGTAATTTTTTTTGTTTTGAGACGGCAACATTTTCGAATTGAATCTATATATTATATATATATAGATGTGTGTGTTTATTCATATATTACACTTATAGATCATAAAACTTGTAATCAGAATAAAAATAAGAAAATAAGAGATCATGTAGCTTTTGGAATAACCCAACAATTTTTCAAAATTAAACACTACAGATTTGTTTTTTATGATAGTGATTTTAATCACTGTCAGATATCATTATACTTGGCTCAACTATGTCACATCCCCACTGTGCTGGGTTTTTTAGTTTTGAATATAATTGTAATTTTAAATAATGAGCCATAAGTTATCAATTTTAGCTTCGATGCGAAGCTGAGAAGGTATTGGTTTTACTATGATGTGTTTTTTTTTTTTTGTGTCTGTTACCACTTTTTCTCAGCTCTCACCGAACGGATTTCTTTCAAAGATACGTCAAAAGATCACAAATCGTATCTAGTCGAAGACATTACCCTTCAAAATTGAAAAAAATTCCCTCGTTCTCTATAAATGGGGGAAACCTCCAAAAAAATTACAAATTTAAAAATCGCTAATTTTCGAAATTTTTTCAATTTTTTTTACTAAAAACTGCCGTAACTTTTTCAAAAATGAACATATCAATATAATTTTTTTTTATATAGATGCTTGATGTCTTTACCTATCATTTGGTATATTTTTTTTGTAAATCTGACACTTAACCTGCCCACAGGGGGGGATTTAAAATGACAACTTTTTCACAAAAAATTAACTTTTTCAACTTAACTTTTGAAAATGTTCCGGAAGGTCTGACACTTTTATATATATCTTAAATTAAAGCTAATGTAATATACTTTAATTTTAAAAAAAAAAATTTGACCTCTGGACTTGTCTTCACGGCGAAAATGGCTACCGAATGCTATTTTCGTGTGAAAATTCTCGATTTTATTATTCATATTATATTTAACTTTATAATGCTATAACTTATTGAAAAGTTTATGGATCCACACAATTTTTTTATGAGAAATAATATTTTTTAATAAACCCTTTTTCATTTGACATACTTTATCTTTATCGAGATATTAATAAGGAACCAGCAGATCAAGTAGCTTTTGGAATAAAACACCAATTTTTTTAAAATTAAACACTATCTAAAGATTTGCATGAAGCGTTTTTTTTTTGATAGTGATTTTAATCACTGTCAGATATCATTATACTTGATCCAACTATACCACGTCACAACTGTACCGCGATCCTCCTGTGCTGGGTTGTTTAATTAATTATAATATATATCTTAAAATTTCATCAGAAGCAAAAATATACTTTTCTAAATCAACTTTTCATGCTGCTTTCAAATTTGCAATTAGACTTTATTATCACTTCTAATTTTTGATATTATTACTAATTACACATAAAATAATAATTTAAAGAAAAAAAAATTGTGTTTCAAATTATTACTGATTTTCATTTATAATAAATTAAAAATAATCAGTCCAAATTTTCATTTTTTACCTATTTTTTTGGTCCTTTAAAGTTTATGAAAAATTTTGGATAAAGTTTTGTTAAAGGTTATAATAAAAAAAATTGAATATGTTGCCATAACTTTTAGCTCAATTGTAAGTTTGAAATTGATATCATTAAATAGAAAATTTAAAATTTAATGAGAATTAAAAAATGGTATTTTTAAGATTAAAATACAGTCGCGAAATTTTAGACACGAATTGTAATCATTTGACGTATTGTTGAAAAAAGTAGGTCAAGTGAGAGCAGAGAAAATAAATAATTGTCACAAAAAAATACCTTCTCAGCTTGCAACGAAGCTAAAATCTAAAATATAGTAAAATAATTTTAATATGAATAAGAAATTTCTTCTCACGAGAGGCGACTACAGTGATGGGATCCTTGATCTTTATTGAAATTATTGTATCTCAATGAGATAAAAATTAAAGGAGTTAAAAATTTATTCTAACTTAAAAAGAATTAAGAAAAAAAATGCAAAAAATCCTTTGCCATACGCAGGTTGGAAACTTGTACCCCAAGCGTGTAAAACACATGTGTAACCGACTCGGCTACTATACGTCGCTTTCACCGTCTGTAAAAAATAGCAATTTCAATAAAAATAGTTTCAAAATTATTTTCCTGGACTTAAAAAAGCAAAAAAATTTAAATAAGTTTAACTTTCTATGCTATATTAATTTGATTTATATAATATTTATGAAAATCAGTGTAGTCCCCTTGTCAGGTATTTTAAAATAAAATAAAATACAAAACCCAGAATTTTAACACAAAAATAGCATATTTTTGAATACGGTAGTCATTTTTATCATGAAGTCAAATCCAGAGATCAAATTTTTTTTTTCAAATTAAAGTATATTATACTTTAATTTATGATATATATATAAAAGTGTCAGTATTTCCTGAACATTTTCAAAAGTTAAGCTGAAAAAGTTAATTTTGTATGAAACTTTTTCTATAGGCAGGTAAAGGGTCAAATGTTCACAAAAATATATCCAATGATAGTGAAATATCTAAGGTATCTATAAAAAAAATTATATTGATTTGTTAATTTTTAAAAAAGTTATGGCAATTTTAAGAAAAAAAAATTTAAAAAAAGTCGAAAATTAGCGATTTTTAAATTTGTAATTTTTTTGGATATTTCCCCCATTTACACGGGGAACAAGGGAATTTTTTTAAATTTTTAAGGGTAATGTCTTCGACTAGATACGATTTGTGATCTTTTGACGTATTGTTCATAAAAATCGGTCCAGTGAGACCTGAGATTAAATGATAACAGACACAAAAAATAAAAAAACACATAATAGTAAAATTAATACCTTCTCAAATTCGCATCCAAGGTAAAAGTGTTTAAATTATTATTATTATGTAAATAATTGAGTGGGTTATGATAAAAAATTCACTCTGTATATGCATCAGTATTATAAACTCAGCCACACCGTCCGTTATATTATTTATAAATGGTAAAGAAAAAAATATACAGTACTTACTTATTGCTAATTTGTTGTACAATTATTTTTAAACGTTCTACCCCACTGATATGAAATAAATTATTTATGTTATCTATAGTCTTTTCTATTTTTGATTCAAAGTTTAATATTTCTTCCCGTTTTTTAATTAATAAGTTAAGTTGATTGAATTTTTTTTCAAATGTTGGTTGGAGTTGTTGATCTTTTAGTAAAGTTTCTATTGTTTTAGACCAGCTTGTAAATTCTTCAAAATTCGATTCAAAGGATGTCCATTGTATTATAATATTCTCAAGTTTTTCAATAGTTTCATCTATTTAACAAAAATAAAAATGAATTTGCCAAAAATGAAAATTGTTATTAAAAGCAACTTTTATAAATTTAACAAAATACAATTTTATTTATACTACATAGCTGAAAATGTGTTTTACTACGATTTATTATTATATTTTTGTCTGACAATAAAAAATACTCAGTTTTTACTCAGAATTAAAATTGTCTTTTAAAACTTTAAATGTTAATCTCATGCCATCATTTTTCGTCGAAAAAAAATTGAAAACAGTTCAGTAATTTTTATTCCATACATAATTTGACATTCCAATAAAAAATCGTATAATAGTTAATAAAAATGGTCAATCAATAAAATTTGAAGAAAATATTTATTTTAACAAAAAAATAACTATAGTACAGATATATAGGAGACTCTTTAAAAACGGTTTATTAATAAAATGAACTTCAATCAAAACCTACATTCTTAGTAAAGTTTTTTTTGTAGTTATTTCAATTATTATTATATATAAAATTACACTGATTTCAACTATTCCGGGTTCTCAATGTATTTTGTGGGATATTTTTTATTTGTTAATATATTTATAGTATTTATATTTGTTAATTTAATTATCATTTCACAAAAATTTTTCAAAAAAAAAAAAATTAATTCACCTATTAAAGATAAAATTTGTTTGTTATCATTTTCTAATTTTGATATTTCATTAGCCATCAATTCAATGCCATTTTTCGTTGTTGTTTGACTACATTGAGAAAATAAACTATTTAGTTCATCAAATGGAATATTATCAGTTTCATTTACGAGTCTTAAAGCCTAAAATAAAATAATTATATTTATTTTTACCAATCAATGATATTACTAGAAATAAAGTACTTTTAAAGCTTCAATTCTTTTTAATATATTATTCTTTTCACCAAAATAGCAGTTTAGATCTACAATTTTTTCTTGTTCTTTTTTAAGTTTAGTATCAAGTTTTTGACAAGATTGATTAAAACTAGAATGAAATGATACTGAATTTTCTAAAACTTCCATTAACTCCTGAATAAAATATTGTATTAACAATTATTATTATTAATAAAAGCTTCTTAAAAAAAAAAACAATTATAATTAAATTTTTTTTTTTTATTATTTACTTTGGATTTTATAACTATTTTTTCATATAAATTCTCAATTGATTCTATATAAATGTTCAAAGTATCATCCTTGGTTTGATCAACAAGTTCGTGTGCTTTAGCACATACAGCTTGAACTAATGGTTTATGTAACATTATTTCTTGATTTATAATCATGTGATTCTGTAAAAAATGACAATACATTTAAAATTTAATAACAAGTATTCTTCAAAATACAGAGAAAAACATAACTAGCTAAAAACTCTTAAAACTTTTGATTTATTCTAAATTAACTTTTTTTTTAACAATTGATTTTATTTTGAACAACGAGTATTATGATAACGATAATGATATAGTTAATATTTAATAATAATTATTAGTTCATTTTTAAAAATATTATGTCATCGTTAAAAATGAAACAATTAATCAATTATAGGATCTATTTCATTAAATTATTTTACTTTGAAGCCATTTTTTTATTAGATATATTATATTAGATGATTAGATATACTAGCATATAAAGTAACAGATAGGGTAAATATTATGGTCAATCAAATATTATTTTAGCTTCGATGCGAAGCTGAAAAGGTATTAATTTTACCATGATGTGTTTTTTTTTTTTTTTACAAAAACTAACTTTATAAACTTAATTTTTGAAAATGTTCCGGAAATACTGCGTCCTTCAATCATATATCAAATCAAAGGTTATAACATGTACTATAAAAAAAAAAAAAAATTTGTCCCGACACCTTATTGTCTATGAGTAAATTGCCTCCGAAATAAAACAAAAAAACCCAGCACAGGGGGGTCGCGGCACAGTGGTAACGTGGCATAGTTGGATCAAGTATAATGATATCTGACAGTGATTAAAATCACTATCAAAAAAAAAACGCTTCGATGCAAATCTTTAGATAGTGTTTAATTTTAAAAAAATTGGTGTTTTATTCCAAAAGCTACTTGATCTGCTGGTTCCTTATTAATATCTCGATAAAGATAAAGTATGTCAAATGAAAAAGGGTTTATTAAAAAATATTATTTCTCATAAAAAAATTGTGTGGATCCATAAACTTTTCAATAAGTTATAGCATTATAAAGTTAAATATAATATAAATAATAAAATCGAGAATTTTCACACGAAAATAGCATTCGGTAGCCATTTTCGCCGTGAAGACAAGTCCAGAGGTCAAATTTTTTTTTTTCAAATTAAAGTATATTACATTAGCTTTAATTTAAGATATATATAAAAGTGTCAGACCTTCCGGAACATTTTCAAAAGTTATGTTGAAAAAGTCAATTTGTTGTGAAAAAGTTGTCATTTTAAATCCCCCCCCTTGTGGGCAGGTTAAGTGTCAGATTTACAAAAAAAAATATACCAAATGATAGGTAAATACATCAAGCATCTATAATAAAAATTATATTGATATGTTCATTTTTGAAAAAGTTACGGCAGTTTTTAGTAAAAAAAATTGAAAAAATTTCGAAAATTAGCGATTTTTAAATTTGTAATTTTTTTGGAGGTTTCCCCCATTTATAGAGAACGAGGGAATTTTTTTCAATTTTGAAGGGTAATGTCTTCGACTAGATACGATTTGTGATCTTTTGATGTATCATTTAAAGAAATCGGTACGGTGAGAGCTGAGGAAAAGTGGTAACAGAAAAAAAAAAAAAAAAAAACACATCATAGTAAAACCAATACCTTCTCAGCTTCGCATCGAAGCTAAAATGTAATGATTGCGATTAAAATCACTTTTTATCGGGATGTTTTTTGTACTTAGAACTGCCATAACTTTTTCAAATATTAACAAATCAAAATAATATTTTTTTATACTGAAACCTTAGGTAATTTCCATTCATTTGATATCATTTTTTTTGAAAATCTAACACTTTTTTTGCTCACAGGGGGGATTTAAAATAGCAACTTTTTTACAAAAACAAACTTTTTCAACTTAAATTTTGAAAATCGAAAATTTTATTTAAAAATATCTTATTAGGGGAATACACTGACTTTCATGAATATTATATAATTTAATTGACATAAAATAAAGTTCATATGACATAAGAAATTAAACTTATTAAAGTTTTTTTACTTTTTTAGTCGAAAAAGTAATTTTTAAATTTGAGTTAGCTTAAATAGCCTATTTTATTATATGTCGAAAGTAACGAACAGTCGCCGAATCGGTAACCCTTATGTCTTTTACGCTTAGAGTATGAGGTTCAAATTCGTCTGTGGCAACTAATATTTTGCATTTTTTTTGAGTTAGAATAAAATTTTCAAATCATTTGATATTTATCTCATTTAGATCCAATAACTTCAATAAATATAAAGGATCCTATCACTATAGTCTCCCCTCGCGAGAAGAAATTTATATTCATGTTAATATTATTTTACTATGTGTTTTTTTTTGTGGCTACGATTTATATTGCCAACCCTCACTAGACCTACTTTTTTCAACGATACGTCAAATGATTACAATTCGTATTTAGTTTAATTTATTACTCTTAAAAATCGAAAAAATAGTCCTTATTCAAATATAAAGTAGCTTAACCAGCTTTTTCCATACAAACAATTAAATACATTAATTTCTAATATTCTTAAAGTATTTATTGTCGAATTAGATTTGATATGATAAAAGTATTCAACTACAGAACTAAATAATTTTACATTGTAATTCGTTAATTTTAGCTTCGATGCGAAGCTGAGAAGATATTGCTTTTACTATGATGTGTTTTTTTTTTTAGCTTCGATGCGAAGCTGAGAAGGTATTTTTTTTACCATGATGTGTTTATTTTTTTTTTTATTTTATTATTTTTTTTTGTGTCTGTCACTACTTTTTCTCAGCTCTCACTGGACCGATTTCTTTTAACAATACGTCAAAAGATCACAAATCGTATCTAGTTGAAGACATTACCCTTAAAAATTTAAAAATTTTCCCTCGTTCCCCGCAAATGGGGGAAATATCCAAAAAAATTACAAATTTAAAAATCGACAAATTTTGTCATTTTTTTCACTTTTTTTTCTTAAAACTTCCATAACTTTTTCAAAAATCAACAAATCAACATAATTTTTTTTT